ACAGAGAAAGACAAATATTGTATGTTTACACTTACATGTGGAATCTAAAAATGGAAACTAATGATTGAATATAACAAAACAGAAACAAACTCTTAGACACAGCAAATAAATTAGTGGCCACCAGTGAGAAGAGGGGTGGGGGGCAGTGCAAGATAGGGAAAGGGATTAAGAGGTACAATATACTAGGTATAAAATAAGTAACATACAGGATGCAATATACAGTACAAGGAATATGGCCAATATTTTATAATAACTTTAATGCAACATAATTATATAAATATTGAATCACTATGTTGTGCACCTGAAGCTAATATAAGATTGCAAGTCAACTACACTTCAATAAAAAAGACTGGAATTAAAAGGGAGGAAAAAATTAAAAGAAAGCAAAGTAAAGGAGGTACAAACAGAATAGTAAATAATAAGAAGTAGTAGTAAACATAAATATATTCTAATGATATTAAGTGCAAATAGAATAAGGGTTCAAATGTAAAGTCAATAATTTTCAGGTTAAAAAAACTGTTTCTCTAAAGATACATACATATAAGGATTCAGAGAGCTTGAAATTTAAAAAAACGAAATAGATACTCCATGCAAATACTAAACAAAAGAAGCCAGATAAAAGAAAGATACAGTGGTTATAAAAAAGATAGTTTTTATAAAAAAGAACATTTCATGATGATCTGAGTATTATGCCAGAGCACAGCAGAATTAAACTAGAAGTCAGCACTCATTACCATAATAACAGAATCTCCATATATGAAGCCATTAAGCTATAAACATCAATAACCAATGGTTCAAAATAGAAGTAATAGGTATCAATATCAAGAGAATAAAAATTTGTGTTTCAAAACACAAAGTTCATAAACCCTTGGCACATAGACTAAAAAGAGAACAAAGCAAAGAGCATCATGACAGGTTCTAAAGGCATTAAAAATATCACAGAATGATATGTGAGCAAGTTTGTATCTTTTAAAATGCAGATGAAATGGAAAATTCCTAGGGGGAAAAAAAACAACCAAAACTGATGTGATGAAAAATAAAGTCTAGGAAGGCAAATAACTGAAAAATTATTCCACAATTAAAAATCTTTCTATCAGAATCCATGACCAAATGGCTTCACTCGGGAATTCTACGAAATTATTACGGAAGCAATTATGACAATGCTACAAAGTTCTTCCAAAGAATAGATAAAAAGAGATAATCATTTCCAAAATCATTTCATTAGTTCAATATAACTTTGATTTAAAACCTTACATTATAAGAAAACATTGTAAGAAAAACATCATGGGTAAATATCCTAAGCAAAATAATATCAAAGCAAATATTGCCGTATTAAAAAGGCTATTACATCATCAAGTGTTTTTATTCCAGGTATGCAATGATTACTCAACATAAGAAAATCAAACAATGTAATCTACCAGTTTCCATGGGCAAGTTACTTCACCTTTCAAAAAGTTTAACTTCCCTTATTTAAAGTTTCAATTTCTTCATCAGTAAAATCAAGACTGTAAAAACTCATACATGATACGGTCTTTTTGAGGATTAAATAATTAATGCATGTAAAGTGCTTAGCACATGGCACACAGCAAAATGCCACACAAATCTTAGCTATAATTATTAGTGCCTTTTAAAAAATGATAAATATGAAAAAAATGAACATTCATATTGAAAAACGCAGTAGATTAAAATCTCATTTATGTAGTTCTCAATCCGAAAACCTCCTATGCAGAAAAATCACCCCAAAACTTAGAGGCTTAACACAACGGTTTATTTAGTGCATATTGCCAGGGTCAGCCATTTGAGTTGGGCACAGCAGAATGGGTCTTCTGGTTTCATTCGTGCATCTGTGATCAGTGTGTTGGGTCAGATAGTGACTAACCAGTCTTGGGAGGGGGCCGTGGAACCACTAGGATGGCTTGCCTCTGTGCCACGTTGTCTCTCATTGTTCACCTGATTAACTTGGGCTTATTCATATATCATTGCAGGGTCCCAAGGGAACAAGAGAGGGCAGGTCCCAATGTGTAAGCATTTTTCAAATCTTTAGTGTTGTTGAAATCAGGTCACAAGGTCAAGACTAGAATTTGAATGTGTCAGGAATGATGCAAGGATGTGATATAAGGAGCCTTGAATAAATTGGAGACAATGACTCTAACAGTGTCTCCCAATTTCCAAAGCAGTAATTCATTTTTAAAAATTAGGAAATTATACACATGATTTTTAGCCAACATAAATTGCCAAACCATTAAAATCCAGTAGGAATGAACAATTTTCTCCTAAAACTGATTCCTTCACTTAGCAACTCCAGTTTTATAAAACTATTCCTAAGTCTCTGAGACCTGAGCTTGGTAATCCAAACATACCTCTCAAATTTAGTACCTACTACTGCCCAACCCAAACCTTCTCCTCAACTAGATAAAGCCAACCAAAGGCTTTCTCTTAAACTGTTCTTATCTATCTTTGGCTCATGCCATTTCCTTATCTAAATAGTGCTCTCTCTGACCCTGCTCCTTTGAATCATTTCATGTAACTCATCATTTAAATTTCCAGCTCAAATACTACTTATAGATGATAATAATTTATTCCCCATTGATATAAGAAAAAAGTTAAACCAAACATTTATCTGAGCTCCATTTTGTGCCATGAACTTTCGTGGGGCCAGCCATGTATATAATGTTCTATTTGTATTGCTCCTTATGTTTCTGAAGAATGTGTCTATTGGATGAGACAGTAAAATTGCATAAAGGTCATTTTTTGGATATCCTTGCTTCGTCCATAGAATTCAGTATGGCAAAATAGATTTATTAAGTATTCATATTTGCTTCATTTATTTTACCATTTTTGGTGAAAACATTTACATAATTTCTCACTTTATATACTTGTAGTATCTTAATGTTAAGTAAGGGAACTCATACTAAATGAAATGATATTTCAAAGTCACCAACTAGATACTTTATCATCTATATCCATTTATATCATTATATTTTTTACATCATCAGTAATCCAAATGTGTCTATCTCTCTCTAGCTAAGTTTTATATAAAACAGGTCTAGAGTAAGTTGTATCTTTCAGTTAATCTACCTAATGCAAATTAACTTATTTTTATATTAAATGTCTACTATGCCTAGATTAATATAACTGCTTTTTAAAATTTCTTAGATTTTTCTCCGAGGAAAACTTGCCTTTCCCACACATCTACTATTTAAAATGAATGAAAGCTTCCCTTGGAAGTCTCACTAAGCACTGAAAACTAATTAGCACATCTAGTGGTTATGCTTTTGTTTATTCCTTTATTCTTATAATTCAGGCTGACTGCTTGAATAATAAGGTCTTCACTTGGATCTAGCATCTAAAAAATATTTGCTGTGTCTGATTAACAGACTTATGAATTTCAAATGTAATTATCTATAGATATTTACCAAAATTTTTGAAGAAAGAAGCTATCTTATATCAAATGATTAGCCTTGAAAACAGGAATATAAATAGAATTCTAATTATAGAAATGACAAATTTGAGTTGGCTTACAGTATAATCAATTTGAGCTATAAAGTGGCATAAAAATTGATATAAAACCAGAGAATAATACAAATAATTGAAAGAATCATGGAAAAAAAGGAAAAATAAGACTAGATGAAATGAATACATATCATCCTCTATTTCTCTTAGAAAGTGGCAAAAATTTTGCCTCCTATTTTTTAAGCTCCAGCAAGCTGCTTATACAAAACCGGTAAGTTTCAGAAAGCACATGAAACTAAGGAGGATTTATTTCCTAAAACTCAGTAAAAAGGATATTGGGTGATACAGTGGTCATCACTATAATAGATACTAATAGATAATTGTTTTTCTTTTTTTCCCATGTTCCTCAATCTAAAACCAAGGACAAGGCTAAAGCAAGTTTCATGAAACCAGTTCCATGAAATCCAAAACAATGTAGTTTAAGTGGGAGGCAATCCGTATTTTTCCACAAAAAAAATATATATATATATACACACATATTAGAAATCTAGAGAAAAGGATGTACTGCATGTTTTTAGGTAGTCCCTCCATAAAGATCATTACCCCAAACCAGACATGATTCAAATACAAGTTTAAAGATTTGTTTCCTACTAAGGGTCTGGAGTATAGATATTCTGTGTTGCAATAATGGCCCATCCATATGCTTGGATGATCAATTAAGCAGAGTGAGTCATTATTTGCTCTTCTTGTTAACATTAATTCATATACATAATTATTACTGGAAAACTGGACATTAGGATTCTTAGGATAATTGCATCTGTGAAAGCTAGAAAGAACCAGAAACTTACAGGGACGAAAACAAAAAAAGTATAATTTAGGATAACAAATTAACCTGGCTCAAAATAAGACAAAGAGAAGAAAAAAAACTACCTGATGGAGTTTTGAAATATCATAGGATACCCCATAGAAAATCATATTTGCATTTTATGAAGAATGGATAGCTAATTTCATAATGATTTTCTTTGAATATATATATATGTATATATTCAAATAGAACTAGAAAAACCAAGAATTTGTAAAATACATTTTTAACTTGAAAGAAAAAGACATTAGATTTAGCGAATCCACATATGCAATTTATACTGTAACATTGGAAAGAAAAATTCACAAATAAGATAATAACTTGTTATTCATATTGAGACACTACTAATAAGAAAGCTGGAAAATCAGGCAGCGACCCAGGCTAACCCAGGCAAATTGGAACGCGTAAGCAGCCTACTTGGAGATGTCTCTCGAAGGCACAAGCTCAAACCAGAACAATTACTCTTCCCTAAAACCAACTCCTTTCAAGCTGCTTAATCAGAAGACTGCCAACCCTCTAATCTTTAACTAAAAATAGGTCAGTATTAAAATTTAAAAAAAAAAATGTTCTCAACTGTGAATCACTGATACTCACAGCATACAGGCATTCTTTTTTCCCTAGAGAGAAAGGACAAATGCTTCCTAATGAGAGAAGTACCAATGTACTGCCCAGTGTTTTCTCTTACCTGAGCAATATTAACTGCATTATGGATTCTCCCATCTTTCTCATGATCCCTTATTTTCTGTAATATTTGCCATATTTTGTTTCCAAGTCCATCTTGCTCCTTATCTCCCCGGAGTTCCCATGACATTTTCACCAGATTATACACTAAGCCATAGTATCCAGTCCATTTCACTTGATCACCTGTTTAAAAAAAGAAAGATTCTTTGAGAAGATATCATTTTATCCATCTTACTAATGCATGGTTTTGAGGGAAAAATTTTTTTGATTTTACTAATATTTTAAAGTTTTAAATGCGGAGGTTTGGAGGTTTTTTTTTACCCTTCACTACTTTTACTATTTTAATTTTAAAAGATCTCAGAGATCATTTTGAAATTTCTAGCCATATAAAAAGATGAACTACACCTAACTAGTATTACACATCATAAACTTAAAAGTGAAAAAGGTAAACTGTAAACTATGTATTATAAACAAATTTTTGGAATTCAAATAAAGAGGAATTTGTTCAAGGCAATATGAACACTTAAACCACCATGGTAAATTTTTACACTAAATCAGAGACACAGGAAACACTGGCTGTCATTAAAAAAAATGATCAAACTATGAAACGTAGCATTTGAAGCAAGAAGAAAGCTTTGAAAATAATGTGAAAAGCAGGGAAAAATTACTGATATAATTATAAGCTGGAAGATTTTCTTAAATAATAGAGGCATAAATCAATTGAAATAGAGGAAAAGGAGTAATGAATCCAGAAGAGATTTTTTTAAGGTCTAATACACTTCTAAAAATTATATACCAATTAGAAATTTAAATAAATTATCAAGTTCCACTTTTAAAATGAGTGTTTTCCTTACAGAAGAGAGAAAGATGTTTCTCTTTACTCTTTATCTTAATTATTTCTTACTTAGATGGTATATTGCAATGCTATTCAAGAAAAGAGAAGTCTAATTTAGGTCATGATGAGATAAATAAATTTGGAGAATGAAATAATACAGGTATCAAAGGGTATGTGAACTTAAGTTAGCGAAAGAGCAATATGAAGGTACTGAGTATATGTGAAGTGGGTAAGAGGAGCCAGAGGAAGAGAAGGTTCAGAAAGGGAGATGGAAGGCTATCCTGGTGAGAGCCTGTGTGACACTGGAACTCAGCAATGCCCTTCTTAAATATATAAGCATAATCTGAAAAATCACAATCTTCATCTTTTCCTAATTCAATCTGTGTTTCACAATCCAGGCAAATAATAATTATAATTGCTATGATAACTAGAATACTTGGGGATACTGACTATGTGCCCTTATTCTAGTTGCTCCTCAGTACAACCCTGCTATGAAGACCATATCATACTTAGAATAGAAGAGAGCTTCTACTGAATATGAGCTTCAACTTGATTAGAAATTCCCCTAGCATCATACTGCTGATGAGTAAATGTCAGGTGGAAGTTGGCATAATCTTACCCCATGAAGCACAGGCCTCTCAAATTCAGACAAGCACTTCTCCTCATTGACAGCTGAATGGATAAAGATGTGATGTGATATGATGTGTGTGTGTGTGTGTGTGTGTGTGTGTAAAATGGAGTATTACTCAGTCATAAAGAGAATGAAATAATGCCATTTACAGAAATATGGATGGACCTAGAGATCATTATATTAAGTGAAGTAAGTCAAACAGAGAAAGACAAATGTATGATATCAGACAAGCCCTTTTCCTTACAATCCCCACCTTCTATTCCATTGATAGGAAAGGAAGATTAGAAGACAGAAGAGAAAGTCTGTACAGTTAAGAAATGGGAGGAGGAAGGCATATGTCCACCTTCCACCCTTTCTATCTGAAGTTGACACTTGAGAAGAGAAAATATAAGCTGCAAATATGATGCTACAGTTAAGCAGCAAGTTCTTTTGAAAATAAAATTTTCCCCTCACAAAAATTTTACCAGTTAAAATTGGTGCACTGAAATAGCTGAAATTATACATAGGAAGTGATGTCACCAAGATGGTGGAATGGGAAGTTGCCAGCCCTCATCTCCTCACAGAAAGAAACAATGTGGCAGACATCCAAGAACAAAAGTGCCTTTGGTGGGGACCTTGGGATCCAGGTAGTAGGTTGTAAAACATCAGTGGAATCCAAGACTCAAGAGAGTCATTTTGAGAAGGCAGGCTGGACCCAGGTGGCCAGTCTGTTAACAGTGATGTGGCTCCAGTTGTGGACCTAGAAGCACCCCTGTCCCCCTGTGAACTTGGCTCCAGCCCTGCTTGTCCACAGTCTTGCCACCATCCACATCCACCAGAGGACCCATGCCTATTGGGGTCCTGCGTAACAGGCCCACTGGCTGAGGACCTGACCTGTGGACCCTGAAGCAACTCTATGACGCAGTTTTAGCCTCATTCCACCATGGTCCTGAGGCAGGTCTGCCCACCCAGGAACCCAACCATCGACCTAGCAGAAGCATGCACAGGGACCTGGTGGGAGCCAGATCCATTTGTATCCCTGATAACAGGCCTGAGATCTGCAGACCTGGCAGTGGTCCCATGACCAGGCTCTAGCCCTGCTCCACCATGGTCCTGGAGGTGGTCCCATCTGCTCAGGGACTCGGCAGGCACCATGCCCACTCAGGCCCTCAATAACAGGCCCACCGATTCCCAGCAGAGAGGTAACTGTAAGAAGAGAGAAAGGAGAGGGTGATAGGGTGGATCTCAAACTGAGCTGAGGTGGAGTTCATGTGAGAAAAGGATAAGGTAAAATAACTAAGGGTAAATGAGGTCAAATTAAATGGTAGGTATTTGAGCAAAAGAGTAACGATGTCTCTGTTCAATGAAATGTTAGGTCTATTCAAGCAATAAACTGGGAAACCAATATGGAAGTTTTATGAGGTAATCTAGGTCTCCTGTGCTGAGCAGCAGAATATGGGAGAGTAAAGGACAAAGCTAAGACACTGTAGAGAAATCTCATAAGACTTCTCTGCTATGGAGGAGAAGGAGTGAAGTTGAAAACAAAGTACATCTTCAAGCTCAGGAAACTGAAACAATAATAAAATTACCTGCAGAAGTGAGATTATGTAGGAAAGCCAGTTTGGGGAGAAAGGAGATAAATAAATGTGGCACGATGGTGGCTGAAGGGAATCTGATTTTCAGTGTCCTGTAGCATGCTGTAAAAATAGAGCTCTAATTCAAGTAAAATAGCAGAAGTGAAACTATGAATTTATGAGTCATTAGCAGAAAAATATGGCCACAACTCAATAGGAGTAGAGAAATAAAAAAGGATTTTTTGAACAATTTGACAAATAAAGCATACTGTGGGTTTTAACCCATTTATAAATTTATTTCTAAACTCCCAAATTCTTTACATTAAAAAGAATGATTGACAAAAGTACATACAAACTATCTTCCTTCACGTGTTTTAAATGATCATTTGTTGAGGAGCAATATTTTAAGACTATAGTCATTGAACTGAATGAGGTTTGTTTTTAGAGTCTACAAGACCAATAGACCAGTGATGAACCCATAAAATATATTCTGATAACTATGTTCTCAAAACTCAAATACTTTAATAAATGTCATTGATGACTTTAACAGTGAGCTGTTCACCTGTCGATTTAAAGTACAGTGAAGTATTACTTACAAATATTTGTAGGGAGAGTCTATTACATCCAGTTGACTGACAGTTAATGAAGAAAAAAACCTTATAAAGACAGATGGTTTGTGTTGTAACTGTCATAAAAAGTAGAATGCACTCAAATATGCATGTCTGGACACTTGCTGAGAAGCATGCCTGCTCTGAAACTTCTCATCCAAGGACCGGGCTGTAGCATAAGACACTCTTCTGTTCTGCTTTGAGTGACCCTGTGGCAGCTATCAAAGATGTTACTTTAAATATGCTGAGAGAAAATGTGTCTGTCTGCAGCTAAGCAGACAGTATCCTAGGAAATAACAAAAGTGAACCAAAACAAAATCCTTAAAAAATCTTGAAAGTTTACTGAGAAATTATGCCACTTGAAAACTAATATTATGATCCTTTCTTTGTAACAATGCTTTACTTTAGTGTTTGAACTCCCTGGAAGCCTTTCATTGCCAGTCTAGATATTTATATTTCACATATTCAGTGAATGTGAAATATGAATATTTCTACTTATATGAATAAGCATAAAAAATACAGCCTTTACAATTTTTACAAATATAATTTGGCACCATAGGATCAAATGTATCACTGAAAGGTAACCTGAATGTGAGATGTACTTTAATAAAACATTGTCTTTAAGAAATGCCATGTAGCATGGAAGGAGCTATATCAATGCCAAGAAAGCAGGTAAAGAACCAGTCAGTAAGCCAGGCATTTGTTGAATAAATATGTACTGAGTCAATGCTACGTGCCAACCACTGTTCTATATACCAAAGAAAAAAACAATCTTACTGTTCTTGGGACACAATTCTAGTGGAGAAAGACAGATAATAAGAAAGTAAACCGAAAAATATCAGTACTCAAATAATAAAAGATGGTAAAGTGACCAACAATGACTAGGAAAAGAAAACTACTACAAAGCAAAGACCTCCATGAGGATACAGTATTCAAGCTAAAATCTGATGGATTAAAAAAAAGTTCACCATTCAAGGAGCTGAGGAAAAGTGTTCCCACCAGAAGAGATGGAAAATGCAAAGGCTATGGACCTGGAATAGCTTGAAAGTTCAGAGAAGCAGAGAAAGGATAAAACGGATGGAGTGCAAGATACTGAGGGTCCAGAGGCACACTCTGAATGATCATGGCCAATTTGTGGGCCACGGAAAGGACTTTGGGTTTTATTCTTAGTATAATAAAAAGCTAACAGAATATTTAAATATGGAAAGGAATTTACCCATTTCATGTTTTAAAAAATATTTTTGGCTTCTTTGTAGAAAATGGGAGTATAAGGAAGACTGGAAGATTTTTAGCTTTTTGCAGTTAATCTAGAAGCAGTGAAGACATCATAGGCTTGGGAGTTGTACAGTAAATTTGTACAATGGTCTTTGCCCTTGGCTTCTGGGAAGTCAGCTCTTAGGTCTCAGAATATCCTGTCTGATAAGAATGTTTTTGTTTACCTGGGAACCTTAAACGTTGGTATCAATTTTGCCTTTGAAAAGGCCAGAGACTGAGGTCAGCCAAGTGTATGTAACTGAACCCCAGTAAAAATTCTGGATACTAAAGCTTGGTGACCT